ATCTACAATCTCTCTATTGCGAAGCTGGTATTCCAGTGGGTGGAATACCGTTGTAACACATAGGCATGGATGCAAACAGGCAAGCCACCCATGACTGGGAAGCATCTGCAAACGTTATATTGGGTTCACAGAGGATTTTACAGATTCAGATTTCTCTCAGTTAGGCTGCAACTACCATCTACGGCAGGAGCGGGCAATTATTTTGGGCAGAGGGCCGTTTACTGAGTTTTGGCGAGCCATCAAGGGCCACATGACAGGCAGTCCGGGGCAGATTAATATTAATTTTCTAAATTTTTTAGGGGCCCCACGGGCCGGATAGAATGGCCTGGCGGGCCGCATCTGGCCCCCAGGCTGCATTTTGCCCACCCCTGATCTACGATATGGGCATCGAAGAACTTCCTCGAGATACAGTGGAAGCCACACCTGGTGGTGCCATAAGCAGTGGATAACTGTTAAATATAGACAGAGAAGAGAAAGCACAAAAGAGGGAAAAGAGTAGCATGCCAAATATGGAATCACTGTCGCATCTGGGTGCCTCGCATATGTGGGTAAAAAGGGAGGGGAGAACCATAGAAAGTGCATAGAAAATAGAAGAGCAGCATTTGGTGCTGACAAAGGAAAGACCGAGCTGAAGATTAATTTTGTATTGGTCTCTGAAGATGAGCACATTTGGGCTCTCCTGAAAAGCAAGGTCCAAAGTCAACGACCTGTCACAGAAACTATTGTGATACAATGGCAAGGCCAGCAAAACTGCTCTAGTAATAGTCCTTTTACAAAGAAAAAACAATAAGCTTATGTTTCCCAAACATACCTACTTTAGTCTCATTTTCGTAGAGAAAACGTTGTCCAGTCCGATAACTTAATGGCACAGAAATATCATTCTCTTTCATTTCTATACTCCTGATAACTACCTGTACAGTTTGAATTGGCCATGGTGACTGAAATCCTTTCTCCAGTAAGAGATAAAGTCTTTCCAGATGACAGTTCAGGTGCATTGGTAAGACAGTTTGTTGTGGAAGCTTGTCCTGATGCTATCTGACCTGTACCTACTCAGACAAGTCTTTGTGGCACTTGCCTGTACAGCATCTAGCCCATGATTGTGGCTGAATAACTCTTCATGGTACTGCAAGTCACTAAAATGTTTTTCTAAGGAAACCGTGTATCAGACAATCAAGGGAAATGTGATAAAATCACTTTCTTGGTAAAGCATGTTTCAATGTTAAAGTATTTACTTTTATCTTGTGTAGCAAGCAAGGTACTTGAGTGAGACTAGACTTGACTATTAGTATCAGTCCTCATCAACAAAAGTTTCTTAAAACTAAATTTGATATGCAGTTTCAACAATGGGCTATGCAAAAACATGAAGTGTGTGTGTAATTATATCAGCCTCAATGGGAAACTAGTGCACAGTATAATATCTTTTCTCTATTGATAACTCCAGAACAACAGCTGAAAAATGACAATTTTTTCCAGGCTGTAAAATGCCTAATACTCCAGGTTCGATGTTGGCAGTAAAATCCCCCTCCGGTCTGTGAATCGTTGTGTCTCAAATAGAGACCCCTCCATTACTTCAAGCTTTCTAATTCTTCCCAAATGCGGGAGCTCTCATTTAATGCTGCAGCTGTTGGGGAGGAAATCAGAAATAGCAGAAGGCGGATTAGTTGATAATGTACCAGTTCTTCCCCAGCAAATGCTGACACCTGCGTTTCACACTCTCCTCTTCCCCCCACCCCAGGAAAAGATCCCTTGGTTTGTTTGGCTAGCTTTCGCATTTGTGGAAATTTGTTAAAGCATCATAATTTTAGAGTAGCCCCTTCCTATCCTGCCCTCCTCCCCCCAGCCCTGTTCCATGGGAACAAAATTTAAATGGGAGGCCTAATTCCTGAAAGGAATCAGGAACTATGGAAATAAAGATTAAGCATATGCAGCCTGATGAGAATCTATAGGGAGTAGATAACTAAACACACTGATGCTCCGTTACTGAGAAATCCCTACAAGTGTCTGGAGAAATCCTCCAGCTTCCAAACACACACTTCTTTGATTGGAGTGTTAATATTTATTATTCTTTACATTTCTGTAGCAACTTGCATCTGAGAATTGTAAAGCACTGACATTATCCCAAGTATGTAGCCCTCATACAGAAGTGAGAGTTACTATCAGTATTATCCCCATTTTACAGGAAGAAACTCTAAGGCACTTTGTGCGTGGCTGAACCAAGACTGAAATCTCTTTTGTGGCCCAGTTCTCTGCGCTAACCAGTAGGTTATGCCTTTGTGCAGAACAAAAGTTATTACTACCTCATGACTGTTTACTAGAAGCCTGTATGAAATGGGATGGGAGTTTTTCATGCAGTTCCTGGTGTGAACATATCTATCACAAAAATAGCTTGGAAGAGAGCCCTTTTATCTGGCTCCTGAGATAATAAACGGCTAAGTTTAGAGAGAACTAATTCCAGTAAGATACAGACTGAAACATGCTGCATGAATATAAGGGACTAGGATCTCAAGAAAGGCAAGTGTCAAACCTGTAGGTACTTTTGCAAAAAAACAGACATGCCAGGAGTGTAAAGCTTCAGTGCAGATCTAAGAGTCCATGTTCAGTACTGTATATTGGATATACACCAAATACAAGAAAAGTGCAGCACCAAGGCAATACAGTTTAAATCCTCAAAAAAGCAAAAAACCCCAGGGGTCAGAGTTGTAAAAGGAGCTAATGATTTTTACTTTGAAATTACAGTGGCACCTGTGGCAGTGAAACAACGTCTCCAGATCCTTCAGACTTCTTTTGATACGCTTCTGTCATTGTTGAGCCCTTGCCATCCTTAACTCTGATTTCTCCACAGCTATTACTTATCCTTAGCCACATTACAACTGCTGCAAATGTTGTGGTGTGCAACATATGACAAATAGCACCACATTAAGCTACCCCCTTTAACAGCAGAAGCAGGCATACCTTCTGCGGGCAGGTTTTCTGCACTGATGTGTAACACATTTTTTAAAACTTCCACTTTCTGAGAAGATTTTCTTGGGAGGGTCCAAGACAACAAAGAGACGCAGGCAAAGAGAAAGAGATACTAGCAGAAAGGAAACCAGCATTAACACGTACACAGAGTTATCCATGCATACCAGGCAGAGTAGCACAGCTGCATGTACAACCACTAGGGATCACAGTGAAAATACGTGGGGGGGGGTTCCAAGCAGAACATGTAATTGTTTGCTGCTGCCATGTGGACAGTATTGGTAGTGCTGCTTCAAACTTGGTGCACAGCCACCAAAGCTAAAGATGATCTGGGAGAAAAAATTGTGTCTTTCTGCTACTATGTATAGTTGTAAAACAACCTGGTTCCTTCATTCCCCTAATTTTTCAAGTACTTGAAGGGCAGTGTTTGCTTTTCACTCACTTCCCTGTCATCCTTTCCTCTTGCTCCCCTTTCTCTTTTCCTTTGCTGTCTTACATGTTCCTCACCTGCTCTTTTGCTCTCATCACCATCTGTCTCCCACATTACGTTTAAATTATTCATTTCCAATCTTCCTTTATCTCTGGTGCTGACTCTGCTGTGTCAGCCTGAACTTTCTGGGGATGCTTATTCCTGCCAGTGAATGGCAGGAGCAGGGGAGCTTCCAGCGGGCAGCAGCAGTGGCAGGGACAGCCACAGATGAAGCCTGAAATGCCAGGCTTTACCTATATGCATTAACATTTCATGGCTACTGAGGTCAGTCTATGTAGCACCCATCAGCACTTCTGGAACAAACTTGGGCTGCTGCTTCTTGGAAGCCACCAAGCGTAAGAAATACTAGCATTCAGGTGTGGCAAGCCCTGGTACTTACACTACTGAGAACTCTGCAGTCTTTCATGTATTTAGCCTCACATCACTGAAAAATATTGCCATTTCAGAGATGAAAAAAGCAACATGCCCTGAATCTCAAAGAAGAGCTGGAGAATGGATCCAGGCCCTCCCAAGCCCCTAGCTGGTGTTTTAACTACCGAGACATTTATTTCTGGTGTACTAGTGTGGTAGGAAAAGACAGCGTTGCTGGCAGTGCCTCGCCATTCTCAGGTGAGAACTAATGTGCATCCATCACTGGAGCATCCGAGCCGCATTTGGCTGGTTCACATCTTGCCCAGAGATGCAGCGATTGTAAGCAGCTGTTCTTTGAATAGCTGGTTTGCAGTTTGAGAGTTACACTGGTTCAGTACCGAACATGGACGCATCTAAAAAAGAAAACCCCACTGCACTAAGTACTGGCCGGCAGCCTCCGCGGAGAGGCCAAGGACAGTGTCGCTTGAAGCAAGCAGTCCCACGGCTCTGGGGACTCGTGCAGAAGCACATCTACAGAAAGGATTGCGTAGGGGGGTCTTGATTAAGTGGGAAATTGGGCACCGCAGCTGTCACTTTAAATCTGGAAGGTAAGGCACCTTTTGCAGATCCTGCTTCCCCCCCTGCAATAACAAACAAGCCTCTTCCCTCTCCGCACCGGGGCCAGGTGGAAGAGGCACAGACGCGGCAGCCAGTCGCACTTCCTAGTTGCATTCTTGTGCCGAGTACAAGACCAGCAGCTCCTACTGCCCCCGCGGGCACCGGCACCGCCCTTTGCAAGGGCTCCCAAACGACCCCTTTATCAGAGCAACCGGGAGCCCGCAAGAACTGCGCCCTTTTCTGCAAGCTGTGGGGACACGAGCGCGCGCGGCAGCTCGAGAACGCGGGGCGCAGCTGGCAGCGGGCGGCGCGGGCCCGCGCGGCAGGAAGCGCAGCGCAGCGCACCGCACGTGTGCGCCGGGGCGGG